TGAAAAGGTCACTGCCCACACAACTGTGAGCTTCCAAATGAAAGATAACACAAGTTCTGCAGCTTTCACATATCATCAAATCAGTATCAGAGTTCTGGCAAACATCTCTAACAAATTCAAGCAGCTCTGTTGTGTTTCGCTAGTGAAAAAAAAATAGAATGTGCAAATGCTGGCTGGAATAGTCAACCAGAAAGAAAACAAATTAAGAGAGTTAGAGATGTTCAGCCACATGACCCAGTCTGTTGCTAATTGGCAGAGTGCTTTCTGTTCTCAGACATGGCCAGAAGGCAGCTATGGCCCTCCCTCCGGTGCATGTTTTTTCCAGCCGAGGCCCCTAGGAAGCTAACAGCGTAAATCTCGCTGGTGCTCATGAACGTAGGCACCTGGGAAGCACCTCAGCCCCACCGGGCTGCGGGGGCAAGGTGTTCCCCGGAGGTTCCACACGGCAGTCTTAAAGTATGTGCTGAACCTTCCCCACCCTGAACTAGGCAGAAACGGCAGCGTCCCTGTTTTTTTTTTTCGTTTTTAAATACCCAACATCATGAAAACAAGAGCACTTCTCTGAGATGGAGGAGATCCAAACCCAGTTTCTCCTGTTGCCTCAATCTTAGGTGAATGTATTTCGGCACTATTTATGTGCTTAGAACATGACCTACCCCTTCCTCAGGTGAGTGCTGTGATTATCAGGCAAGTGGCACGTGCCCACTAATTCGATAATTTCACAGTGGCGCAGCTTCTGCAGGGAAGACCGCAGTTGTTGTTCGGCTGCTCAGCTGGATCTGAGGAACTGTGGGTTCACAGGACAGCATAGAGAGGGAGGCTTTGAATTCCCCTCTCTCACATCCTCCCTAACTGCTGCAACCACCAGTGACGCAAGGCATTAGCCCCCTCAGCTATATTTTGGGAAGAAAGACCTGGTTTAGGTGTCTGCACAAGGGAATTGCTCGCATTTCTTCTTCCAGCTGGCAGGCCAGGGTAGTTCTAAGGAAGTGAAGTGACAAACCGAAGATTAAATGAAGGCAGATGATACTGAAAAACTGCTTGGCAACAGAAAGTTTGTCTCTGGGCCTGAGCAACAGTTTCCCGGGGTACAGGTACATACTGCCTTTCTTGCCAGGGTACTGCCTTTCTCCTTAAGGGTGCTTAACTCCTTGGCTCCAGGAAGGAACGCAGTAATGTTGATTAAACCAGTTTCTGCACCAGTGCGTGTGTCCCGTCACTCTAGAGACTGGCGTATGTCTCAAGACATTAACTGAAATGAAAGAGAAGCGTCAAATTCGTCTGATGTTACCCGGGAAAAGGGAATTTTTGAAACATTATATACTCACGTTACGGTTTCTAATGACAGCTGCAGCATGATTCCCATTGGGTGAATGCCTCGTTTCCTAGTGCGAGCTTTCTTGATTATAAGAGGAAAGAAAGTATTTTTAAGTGCTGAGAATATTTGAGTAATGTGACTTTTCTCATTAGAGCTATTTCTAGCTCAGTGTTTTTAAGATGATGAAATGCAGAGAGTTTAATTACAGCAGCATGTAATAAGCAGAATTTGTCTCTCCTCGAATTTATTGGCAGGGGGCCTGACTAAAGCTAATGTTAGTGTTCTTTTTAACCAGTATTTGTGCTTCTGAAGCAAATTTTAAAATTATATGCTTCAGTGGAGGAATGACAAACAAGAAGATTGTTTTGGTGGTGGTTGTTGGCTTGGTTTGTTTTGCGCAGTCGCTTTTGGGCCCCTGTGTACCAAATACAGCCCTTTTTCTGCATCTCCTTCTAAGTCATGGCTGGAGCAGATTACTTCTTCCATGGCAGGAGAGAAGTTAGCACACAGGTTACCATTTGGGATTGATTGCGCTTGCCAGAGAACAGTTGACCACCACCAACTGGTCAGGAGCAGCCATGGTTATCTGCTCCCTGGAACTCCAAACACGTGTGCGCACACACACTCACATTTTGGCCCTGGAAGTCACTTACGAGTTTCAAAGCCACTGAGTTGGGGAATCACAACTGATTTTTAGTAGCATGGAATTCCACAGTTCTTTGAAATTTGGGCAAGACTCACTATTATTATATCAATAAATAAGGACTACAAATGCTAAGTCTTCCCCCTTAATTCCGATTCTTCAGTTTTCTGGAAGTCCTGGAGATCAGAGAATTAAAATAGTCTTCTCAATTCCACTGTGCCAGAGATTACAACTTCGTTGTTAATAGTGGCTATGGATGGAGCTCGTTATTAGGACTACTTTTGTCTTTATTGTTTAAAAATAGAATTCAAGAAAGTTAAGAAGTTAGAAAGAAATTAAGGAAGTGTGTATTTTTTTAAAAGCAATTATTTGCTCTGGTTAATCACCTAGCTGAACAGCTCCTCAGAAGTTCCTAAAATTGTTTTCTAAAACTGAGGATAGACTTAAAATATAAATTAATGATGCCTATGTTTTTCTAAGACACAGGAGATCATTACCTTGATAAATTAGTTTGACTATGCAGTAAGGTTGGGATAGTTCCCTTTTCTCCCTTCCAGCCATGCTGCTTTGCTAAAAAGCAATATGGGGTTTTTTTGCTTTCTTGACACAACAGCACATGTACATCTACGGTCACGCAGGACACAGGTAGCAAAGCCACTCCCATCTTCTTCACAAAGCTCTGTCAAAGATTTATTTCCAATGGTGAAGCCATGTACAGTTATACGCAACAAGCTGTGTAAAACTAGTATGCAATGCTATTTGTGGATCTATGAGATTCCTCCAAGGAAAAAAAAAGCACTGACTCTTAAACAAGCAACAAGAGGGACCAGTGCTGTCAGTTTCGTCCTCAGCAACACATACACCCACTAGCTGGTCCATCACCTTTACTTTTTTCACAGAAGTTACGCAAGGATAACGAATAGAGTGAGGAGTGATCTGGTGTTTATTCCTGCCATCTATTCCTAGCAATTATTAAAACAATGGGCTGCACTGGGTTGGATTTGAATGTACAAACTCCCTTTGCTGGAACTAAGCTCACAGAATGAATAATGACTCTCTTAAAGAGGAGAGAAAATTCTTCGACCATACAACACCCAATTCTACAGACTGAAAACTGCCTCGAGCTTCTTACTGCTAGATATCTCTAAAGGGGAGGGCAACTGAACTGAACAGCTGAAGTCTTACTGTTCAGCTCCTCTCCTTTTTACCTGCACTCGAAACCATGATTTGCAGATTCATGTACAAAAATCAAAGTAAACTTACACTTCCATTTTGTACATGTGCTTCTAAGTCATAAATTCAGAGATTAACATTTTTATTCCGTAAAAACATGTATGTCCATGACCTTCAGTGAC